AGGACAGCGCGGCGATCCACCGCTCGCGGCTTGCTGTGGCGTAGAGGCGATAGGCTTCAACGATTACTCAGCTACAGTCATCATACATGATGTATGATGCCCGCGATGAGCCGATTCCTCGCGCCATTGCTACTTTTATCGGCAGCAGACTAAATGAAGAAGCGGCATAGCAGGGAGCATATAGAGAAACCCATCCACGCACGCCACCCCACTAACACAAGACACACACACACACATATATACCCACTAACACACACACACACACACACACACACACACGCACATTATATACACCACTTAACACAGACACATACACGCACATATATACCCACTAACACAAGGAACACACACACGCACCGCACCCACTAACACAGACACACACAGACACACACACCCCACGCACCCACTAAAACAGCAGAAACACACACACGCACGCACCACTAACCGCACAGACACACACACGGCACGCAACGCACCACACTAACACAGACACACACACAAACACACACGCACGCGCCACTAACACAGCACACAAACACGCACGCGCCCACTAACCAGACAACACACACGCACGCGCCCACTAACACAGACACACCACGACGCACGCAACCCACTAACACAGACACCACACACGCACGCACGCCAAACCTACTTGAACACAGACACACACACACACAACACACACGCACGCGCCCACTAAAACACCAGACACAGACACCACACACATCACACACACGCACCGCATGCCCACTGACACAGGACAACACCCCAACCCGAACGCAACCATACCACACATGCGCCGACACTGACACAGACCACATATATTACACTCGCTATTCGCGCGCACACACACAGCACACATAGGCCTAGCACAAACACGAACACGACCCACGCACGCACGCGACGCACGCACGCAGCTCCAGTATGAACATGATTACGTGTTGTATAAAGCACGTCATGGCCCAGTCTTTAGCAGATCACCGAAAAACGAACAAACAAAAAAATGAGCGATACATATCATACTATACTTTATCCTCCTAATGATGACATTCCTCTTACGACCGCAAATATCCCACCAACCAGCGCAGTCAATCGAACAATATAATTACCAAACATTACAAAGAAAGGCCCTAATCAAGAAAATTCACAACCATGCTACTACAGACGGGTGGCCGGGCTACCCTAACTAGACACACGCAGATTTACCCGTGGAATCTCTTTACCGTCATAACTATATTCGTGTAGTGAGCAAGTAATTCACGTAACGACCCTAATGCCTATAGAGTCCAACACAGAGAGCTGCAATCACGCAGAATACGCCGAAATCCAGCGACAGACCTATAATTTACAGCTGCCAACACAGATGACAGCACTTGTCCGCGCCAATACAACCTAGATGTCGCCTCCCTCATGCTCCAGCCTTTCTCCCTTCCTGCATCTCCAGCCGTCTCTGCCCTTCCTCATCCTCCAGCCTTCTCCCTTCCTCACTGCTCCAGCCTTCTCCCTCCTCAATCCTCCAGCCTTCTCCTTCACTCAATCCTCAGACCTTCTCCCTCCTCATCCTCCAAAGCCTTCTCCCTCACTCATCCTACCAGCCTCATCCCTCCTCATCCTCCAGCCTTTCTCCATCCTCATACCTCCAGCCTTCTCCCTCCTCATTTTCTCACAGCCTTCTCCCCTCCTCATCAGCCAGCCTTCTCCCTCCTCATCCTCAGGCCTTCTCCCTGCCTCATCCTCCAGCCCTTCTCGCCTCCTTGCATCCTCCAGCCTTCTCCTCCTCAATCTCACGCCTTCTCCCTCCTCACCACACATATACTCGTAACACGCCCCCATCCTTCCCTGTATCCATGCTGCACCTTCCTTCCATTCCTCTATTGTCTAAGATACTGCCAGGCCCAACCCTCCATCCCTCTGTCTTCCAATATCCCATACTCTCGGCTCTAAACTACAATCCCCCACCCATCGCATCATCTCTGCTGTCTCGTCCTGACTACATCCACCATCCATCATTCAGGTGGGCCACACCCGGGGCTGTCACTCACTATACAGTATACAAGATTACTAGACGATGGCACTCGGCCAGTAGCTAAGTGCTCATGTAGTCATTGCCTGATGACCCTCCAGATGATGATCACAGCAATTAGATCAGCAATCGTCGGACAACCTCTCCCCCCCGTCCCCGGCGGATCACGCCGGCGTACACACGCGTCACAACCAGCAGTCACGCCGCTCCCAGCGTCACACAGCTCCCGCGTCACGACCGCATCACACAGCTCACACACGATCACGCCGCGCACACAGCGATCACGCCGCACGTCACACGCGTACAACGCGCGTCACGCCGCGCTCAACAACAGCGTCACACAGAAAGCAGTCACGACCGCCGTCACACAAGCGTCACACAGACTCACGCCGAGCTACACCGGTCACACCGCGTCACAACCGCCACACAGCGTCACGCCGCGTCACACGCGTCACGCCGGCGTGCACCCGCGTCAACACAGCGTCACGCCGCGTACACAGGTCTGCTTCAACGCCGCGTCACACAGCGTCACGCCGATACACAGCGTCACGGCGCGCTCCACACAGCGGTCACACAAGTGATCATTACGCATCCATAACAGTTCGTCACACGCGCGCCGAGCACACAAGCGTACACGCGCGCCCGTCACACCGCCCATCACACAGCGTCACGCCGCGTCACACCGCGTCCACAGCCGCGGTCACACAGCGCTCACGCCGCAACTCACACAGACCGTCACACCGCCGTCAACGCCGCGCTCACACAGCGCGTCACGCGCCCATCATACAGACGCTCACACCGCGTACAACGCGCCGTCACAGCGCGCGTCACACAGCGTCACGCCGCGTCACACCGGCACACACAGCGTCACGCGCGTCACACCGCGTCACACGCGTCACGCAGCCTCACACCGCCGTTCACACAGAGACGTCACACCGCGTCACACCGCATCCACACCAGCGTCAACACAGCCGTAACACAGCGTTCACACCGCGTCACACCGCCGTCACACCGCGTCACACCGCCATCACCACAGCGCAGCCGACCGCCGTCACACCGCTGTGCACAACCGCGTCAACCACCGCGGTCACACCGCATCCACACAGCGGCACACCGCATCACACAGCGCGTCACCAGCAGCGTCACACAGCCGCTCACACCGCGCGTCACACCGCATCATACAGCGTCACACCGCATCACACAGCGTCACACCGCATCACACAGCGTCACACAGTGTCACACAGCGTCACACCGCGTCACACCGCATCATACAGTGTGTCACACCGCGTCACACCGCGTCACACCGCATCATACAGCGTCACACCGCATCACACAGCGTCACACAGCGTCACACAGCGTCACACAGCGTCATGCAGCGTCATGCAGCGTCACACAGCGTCATGCAGCGTCACACAGCGTCACACAGCGTCACACAGTGTCATACCGCGTCACCGTGTATTCCGTAGTTCCACGCTAAAACACGTGTGTCGTCGTCGTCGTCGTTGTTATTGTTCGCTGATGAATCCCGCATGTTTTACCGTCAAGCTAAACAATGAATGTTTCACAGTCACACTATACACACAACAAGCGTGGTATTCCACTAGTCACCAGAGCTTTCGCATCTCATGATGAACTGTGGATGGTGGATGGTGGGTGAGGTGGGTGGGGGTGGGGGGTGGGTGGGCGGTGGCGGTCAGTGGGTGGGTGGGGGGTAGGGTGAGTGGCGGTGGGTGGGGGTAGAGGTGATGGCGGTGGGTGGGGGTAGGGGTGATGGCGGTGGGTGGTGGTAGGGGTGATGGCGGTGGGTGGTGGTAGGGGTGATGGCGGTGGGTGGTGGTAGGGGTGAGGGTACGGGTGATGGCGGTGGGTGGGGGGTAAGGGTGATGGCGGTGGGTGGGGGTAGGGGTGATGGCGATGGGTGGGGGTTAGGGGTGATGGCGGTGGGTGGGGTAGGGGTGATGGCGATGGGTGGGGATGGTTTGTGTGTGTGTGTGTGGGAGGGTACTCACTGCTGCTACTACTAGCAGTTATCAAGCACAGGTTAGGGGGTTGTCGACACTGATCCATGCGACACATTAGGCGCGTTCACACGGACGTTTTTGGCCCGAGCCTAATTAGGCCCATGCCAGATTTGGCTCGAGCCGAGCGTTCACACGTACGTTTTTGGCCCGAGCCTAATTAGGCCCGAGCCAGATTTGGCCCCATCGAAAACGTCGGACCAGGCCCGAGCCAAATTTTAGCACCAGCTTTCGGCGAGCGGTAGAGAGGTAGAAATTACTAGAATCGGTTGAAACAGTATAAAAAGTATAACTTTATAACAGTATAAAAATTCCAAAACAGTATAAAAATTCGAAAAATTTGATCAGGATGCACGTTTTCAAGATTGATAATTAAACTCGGAACGTAAGTAAACACTCTAAATAGTAAACAACGCCATCTCGCGACATACTGCCAATTTATCTGTGAGATATTTGTGCAATAAAATTCATTTGAATTTTAATTTGAATTTGACAGACAGTATTCACTTGCGTACGTGTGAACGCGCCGACTCAATTAGGCCCGAGCCAAATTTGGCCCGAGCCAAATCTAGCCCATTTGGCTCGAGCCAAATCATGACTGTGTGAACGCGGCTATTGTCACACACTCAATTAGCCGTCTGTTAACAACATGTACGCTGTGTAATGCACGACTCGTTAATAAATCTGCCGCCGCATCTCGACGTTAACAATTTGAGGGACGTAATAATGCTAATTAACAAGAACCCGTAATGCAAGCAATTAGTTAGGCTGTGTTCTAATCATCATTGCTGCTGCATTAATGCGTGAACCATGTTAAGCAACATTTCGCCACTTTGACTGGCTAGGGTTAGCTGCCCGTCACAGTCAGTCAGCTTTATCATCTTATCCAGCAGCAAGAACATAACGTGTTGATCGACGAAGTTAACCACTCATTAGGAAATGATAACACATGTGTTAAATACATTTTGTGATCGGTCAGGTTTTATAACAAGTAGATTAGAGAACAGGGAGATTAGTTGGAGACAGTAAATTAAACCAATTATGAATGCCTTTGTATATTAGTCTAGTTAAGTTGAATTGACAAAAACACATACCCTTGTACAATATAGGGAATAATGCCTTTCATTATTATTTTACAGGTGTCAGATTGAAAATAAATTTTCCTCCAAGCTGACATGAATTTATCACACGATACGGGATGATCATTTTATATCTCTCAATGTGCATTCCCCACCGCCACGTTACGTAGCACACGGACCCGCAATGTCAAGCACACAGACTGACAAACTGTGCCAACCATGTAACCTAATTCAGGATGGCGGTAAACAAATAGCAGAACACACACACACCGGTGTACATCAAAATATCCAAGATTAGGTGAGAAAATTGACACGCATCCACACTGAAGACAAACGCGAGAGATCAACTCAGACAGCTCAGTGATTTCTATCTTTGAGTCGGGTAATTGACGTTCGCCCGCAACCATCTACGAACAGATCATCAATGTTATCCAGCCGGCACCACAGATGTGGGGCAGAGTTTATGCTATCGCCTTTGCTTCAGGAAGAAATGCCTCCCAGTATTTGATCAACTGAAAAGCATTTGCAGAAATTAGTTGGAATCACAGTATTCTTAGCACAATTGAAACCAAAACCAATTCTTCTCGTGATTCTTATGCCACAATGCCTACTTCACCATATAAATCACAACTTTTACTATAATATTAAGAATAATGAAGCTCTAATGTTCTTGTGGTTCCATTACAATGTTAGGAAATATAGGCCTATACAACACACGTGCACGCACGCACGCACACACATATACGCACACCTCACCCTCTGATGTAGTCCTACAGTATGGGTAGCTACACTATACCTAAAGGTAACAGCAGTAACCTATGGCTCTTCATATATGCGGTACGATAAATAACCTACTACAATCGATGAACGTTGTACAATAATAATAATATTGTCTTTCATAATAATAAATATAACATGATCTATAATGAGTTCCTACCTGCTGTTGATCATCCATGAGTGACTCCAGGTATTTGATTATTGTGGATTTGAAGTCACTTACTCTCTGCTGCTCAAATCTCTCCACCTCTTTCTTAATAGTCTTAGATATAGTCTCAAACTCCTGATGACTCTTCTGTACATTCGTTTCCCACTAAAAGGTGCAAATTAACACAGTTAACTTTTCACGATGCTCAAGCGAATTACTCCACACCTGCACTGAAGTTTATGGCAAAAGCTGTCAAAACTTTATAGAAGGTAACACTTTACCTCACAATTTAACTTAATTAACACAGAGTACAAGTGAGGATAACGCAGATAAAATCAGACTTACTTCTACTCACACGAAATATGAACTCACCATTTTTAACAGCCATAATCAAGTGCTACAAATTTCTCGAGCATTGTATGTTTTATGCAAAATCTATTACACGAATGCTTGGTTTTCAAAAGAAACTTCGCAAAACATTTGCTAATCACCTCCTCATCTCAAACAGGACAAACTTTAACATTTGCATGAAAGCAGATGTCAAGTATTTCTGACCCCAAGTAAAGTAATCAATACGTGTAAAAGCTGTTTATTTTGAATGTCCATTTAGATTTCAGAGACTTATCATTGTTTTATTTTATGAAGGTTAATAAATTGGAATAAGTCAGTAGTATTTTTGCATTTCTAGTACGAGTTAATCCACAATCATTATATATATATATATATATATATATATAGTGTGCATTATTGTAAAATGCTACGTGACCTCTATAACCAGACTATAAGTAAAACGTGTTTATGCATGTATGTATAACCAATAAGTACGAATTATAAATCATAAGATAGGATGAATTAAAATAATTGGTTAAATAGTTTGCATAAATGTGAATTTTGCCTTTTCATTAAACTGGAGATAGCGATTGGAAGAATATCTGGATAAAGATTACACTAATTTATTATTGGCTTGGCATATAGGTTAAACACGCAGTATATATATCATTATTAAACAGCGCATTAGCTGCCCCTCCCTACATAAAAATCCAATGCTACAACTACTACTGAGAGTTTATGATAAAGAAAGAAGCTGGTATAATTTCCCAGCATGCACTTCTTACCTGACCAATATCTTTTTTAAGCTGCATGCGGCAATAGAAAAATAAAGAACAAGGCTGATAATGCCGGCACTAATTTTTGTGTGCATTAAAGCAGCGCTGGCCATAGCAAGGCCTCTGCAAGTTTTCAGTAGCATTGCCGTGTAAGCAGCAGTAGCAGCAGTAGCAGCAGTAGCAGCAGTAGCAGCAGCAGCAGCAGCCCCTGCAGCAGTAGCAGCAGTAGCAGCAGTAGCAGCAGTAGCAGCAGTAGCAGCAGCAGCAGCAATAGCAGCAGCAGCAGTAGTAGTAGCAGTAGCAGCAGTAGCAGCAGCAGTAGTAGTAGCAGTAGCAGCAGTAGCAGCTGTGCACTAACAATCGCGTCTATCGTTGCTGCGTCGGTGTGAAGCCGCGCGCGCGTTAGCAGTTGTGACGTCGTCAGCTATATCGTCCGGTAGACGAGCGAGCCCCTCGCCGCACCGCCGGCGCCACCTACCTCAACAACGTCCGTGCACAGCATGCATCGCGCAGCGCCGGCGCCACCTACCTCAGCGATGTCGGCCTTGACCTGGTCGAGCTTCTCCGTCTTGCCTCCCAGCTGCATCTTCGCTTCCATCTCGCGTTTCTTGTTGAGCGTCAGCTGCGCTGCCTCCCAGTTCTGGAACACCTTCACTCGCTGGTGGAACACCTCCTGTAAGAGCAGCGATCAGTGGAGGGAAGCAATCAGTACATACCGCCCGTCACCGTTCCACAGGCACAGCTGAATGTCAGGTTACACACTCGTGTTAAATCAGCAGTGCACCCACCACTCGTCTATGTATATGATAACTTGATAGCGCATTGCAGACATTACGATCACTTGGCCCTCTTATTGGTTGGCCCAACCATCAGATTACTGGCAGTGTATCACAATAAGCAGGCTGAACATTGTTCTAAAGCACATAGTTACATTAAAACACGTTTAAAACCGATCTTTGGCCAATCAATAAGGGGACCAAGTAAGCTAATCGATTACAATATCACAACGAAAGCTCACACACACACAATTATACACACACAGCACAAATATACACATCCACGCACACGCACGCACGCACACGCACGCACGCACGCACGCACACGCACGCACGCACGCACGCACGCACACTCGTCGCGGCGTTGGCAGGTACCTTGACAGCTCCTACGAGGTTCACGTAATCCTTCAGTAGCTCAGCAAACAGGAAGAAGTCTGCATCTCCCTGCTTGTCGTGTAGCTGCTCTATCTTCTCCTCAACCTCTGCTAGCTGTGAGAGCGCGCGCGACAGACACGTGTGCTCCTCCGCACTGCCCAGCATCGCCGCACTCTTAGCAAAGCTCGCCGTCTGTACACTCAGCTCTGCACACGGGCGAGAGAAAGAGAGAGAGAGAGGAGAGACAAGGTTATCACGTGCTGTCGTCGTCACCAACGTGTCAAATGTCGTCCCATGTAACGAAGTGGCCGACTTAGATGAAGCTCAAAACCTTTAAAGCCGCAACTACGCCCACGTATAAAGAGCTGAACCTGTCCACAGCTGATAGCTGGACATCTATTAACATTATCAAGAGCTCATAATACCTAGAGTGTACAACGGAAAAACGGGAAAATAGTGCTATTTCACGACATGATTATTCTACTTTGCCTGCGAGTCTAGAATAATTTTATAGTACTGCATTAAGCAGAATTCTTTGCTCTCTAAAACAAGACCAACCGCTTGTCAATACGATACTCCTGGGCGCCAGTTCTGGTCGCTACCGCAACAGTAGGTGTCATACACTAACCCGTCAATTACTTATTCTGACTAGTTCATTGACTCTCTCGACCTCATAACGACTAAAAGTGCGTGGCCCTTATAACGCTCATTTTGGTGTTCTCAGTTCTAACTAAGGCTCCTCTCGACCCTGCCAGTGCCCCCTACTTGACCCGCACCACGCCCCCTCCTCGACCCTGCCACACCCCCTCCTCGACCCCGCCACGCCCCCCTACTCGACGCTCTGCGCACCCCCCCTCCCGGGGAACCTCCGCAGGCCCCCCTCCTCGACCCCCAACCACGCCCCTCCTCGACCGCTGCCACGCCCACTCCTCAACCCTGCAACTGGCCTCCCTCTTCGACCCTGCCATGCTCCCCTCCTCGACCGCTGCACGCCCCCTCCTCATCCCGCCACCACCCCTCCACCCTTGGCCACATCCCCCTCGAGACCGCCACGCCCCCTTCTTCGCACCGCCATGCCCCTCCCTCGACCCGCTGCCAGCGCCCCTCTCAGACCGCCGCCACCCGGCGCAGAGGTCCATGCACGCCCCTGCCCACACCCGCTCTCGACCGCCCAAACCCCGCCCCGTCGACCACTACCTATGCTCCCTCCTCGACCCTGCGCACACCCCTCCTTGAGCCCCCGCCACACACCCTCCTCGACCCTGCCGACGCCTCCTCTCAGCCGCTGCCCACCCCCTGTCCTTGACACCCGCACACACCCCCGTCCTCGACTGCCACGCTCCCCTCCTCACCTGCCACACCCCCTCCTCGACTCCACCACGCCTCCTCCTCGCCCCTGCCACGTCCCCACCCACTCACCCCTGCCACGCCCCTCCTCGACCCTGCCACACCCCTGGGCCACTCTGTCCTTGCACCCCTTTCCACCCCTGCCTCACCCTACTCCTCATACCTTGGAACCCTTAATCTGCACCTGATACTGGTGCACGTTACTAACGTTATATGCATGCCTGATGGCAGTTGTTCGGCTCTTAGTGCTTCACGTATTACATTGAGCATTTTGATCTCCTACTGGGGTGAAAAAACATTGCATAATGTCAAGAGCTAATAATACCTAGAGTGTACAACGGAAAAACGGGAAAATAGTGCTATTTCACACATGATTATTCTACTTTGCCTGCGAGTCTAGAATAATATTAGGTACTGCATTAAGCAGAATTCGCTTTCTAAAACAAGACCCAACGCGCTTGTCATACGATCACTCTAGGCTGAGGATATTAGCCTCCTAAACCTCCCCCGCACAGGCATCACAGCGCCTCGAATCCACATCATTCAGGCAACCTACACGCCTCTAAGCATTTCGGCTATCGGTTTCCGTCACTTGCTTGACCGCTGAAAATTGATGTCACATGCCAAATTTGTACTATTACAACACCATATAGTAACTGAGCTGCATTGTAAAAACTTATTAAGAAAACATTGCCGCTCCATCATGACGGGCATGTAGCCGTGCTAGGAAAGATAATGGGAGATAAGGGCATAGGCGATGCTCCCGAAAGTGCCGTTCATTCATAAAGTTATGGCGGAACACCGAACTTTCAGCAGAAGCAACCTTATGAGGCCGTGTAGGTTTGCTGATATGATGTGGATTCGGCGCTGTGATGCTAGTGGAGTGGGAGGTTTTAGGCAGGCCAATATCTCANCCCAATATCCAGGTCAACAGCGCAACAATGACATACGCTTATAGCTTAATGACAAGCACCCAATATCCAGGTCACCAGGCGCTACAATGACAGCTGCGTTACAGCAGCAGCAGCAGCAGCAGTAGCAGTAGCAGCGAAACCCCGCACCACGGAACGAGAACAATCGGTAAACATCTCCACGCAACGACAACGGACAAACACGCCAACGTCCGACCAATGACATACGCTTATAGCTTAATGACAAGCACCCAATATCCAGGTCACCAGCGCTACAATGACATACACTTATAGCTTAATGACAAGCACCCAATATCCAGGTCAACAGCGCAACAATGACATACGCTTATAGCTTAATGACAAGCACCCAATATCCAGGTCACCAGCGCAACAANACCCAATATCCAGGTCAACAGCGCAACAATGACATACGCTTATAGCTTAATGACAAGCACCCAATATCCAGGCCACCAGCGCTACAATGACATACACTTATAGCTTAATGACAAGCACCCAATATCCAGGCCACCAGCGCAACAATGACATACGCTTATAGCTTAATGACAAGCACCCAATATCCAGGCCACCAGCGCTACAATGACATACACTTATAGCTTAATGACAAGCACCCAATATCCAGGCCACCAGCACTACAATGAC